AAATAACAGAGAACCCGGAGCCAAAAGGAAAGGCGAGAAAAAAATAACAGAGAACCCGGAGCCAAAAGGAAAGGCGAGAAAAAATAACAGAGAACCCGGAGCCAAAAGGAAAGGCGAGAAAAAATAACAGAGAACCCGGAGCCAAAAGGAAAGGCGAGAAAAAAAAAAAAAAAAAACAGAACCCGGAGCCAAAAGGAAAGGCGAAAAAAAAAAAAAAAACAGAGAACCCGGAGCCAAAAGGAAAGGCGAAAAAAAAAAACAAGAGAACCCGGAGCCAAAGGAAAGGCGAGAAAAAAAAAAAAACAGAGAACCGGAGCCAAAAGGAAAGGCGAGAAAAAAAAACAGAGAACCCGGAGCCAAAAGGAAAGGCGAAAAATAAAGAGAGAACCCGGAGCCAAAAAGAAAGGAGAAAAAATAACAGAGAACCCGGAGCCAAAAGGAAAGGCGAGAAAAAATAACAGAGAACCCGGAGCCAAAAGGAAAGGCGAGAAAAAAAACAGAAACCCGGAAAAGGAAAGGCGAGAAAAAATAACAGAGAACCCGGAGCCAAAAGGAAAGGCGAGAAAAAAAATAACAGAGAACCCGGAGCCAAAGGAAAGGCGAGAAAAATAACAGAGAACCCGGAGCCAAAAGGAAAGGCGAGAAAAAAATAACAGAGAAACCGGAGCCAAAAGGAAAGGCGAGAAAAATAACAGAGAACCCGGAGCCAAAAAAGGCGAAAAAATAACAGAGAACCGGAGCCAAAAGGAAAGCGAGAAAAAAATAACAGAGAACCCGGAGCCAAAAGGAAAGGCGAGAAAAAAAAATAACAGGAGAACCCGGAGCCAAAGGAAAGGCGAGAAAAAAATAACAGAGAACCCGGAGCCAAAAGGAAAGGCGAGAAAAAATAACAGAGAACCCGGAGCCAAAAGGAAAGGCGAGAAAAAATAACAGAGAACCCGGAGCCAAAAGGAAAGGCGAGAAAAAATAACAGAGAACCGGAGCCAAAAGGAAAGAAAAAAAAACAGAGAACCCGGATAACAGAGAAAGAGCCAAAAGAAAGGCGAGAAAAAAATAACAGAGAACCCGGAGCCAAAAGAAAGAGAAAAAAATAACAGAGAACCGGAGCCAAAAGGAAAGGCGAGAAAAAAAAAACAGAGAACCCGGAGCCAAAAGGAAAGGCGAAAAAAAACAAGAGAACCGGAGCCAAAAGGAAAGGCGAGAAAAAAACAACAGAGAACCCGGAGCCAAAAGGAAGGCGAGAAAAAAATAACCCGGAGCCCAGAGAACCCGGAGCCAAAAGGAAAGGCGAGAAAAAATAACAGAGAACCGAGGCCAAAAGGAAAGGCGAGAAAAAATAACAGAGAACCCGGAGCCAAAAGGAAAGGCGAGAAAAAATAACAGAGAACCCGGAGCCAAAAGGAAAGGCGAGAAAAAAAAACAGAGAAACCGCAGCCAAAAGGAAAGGCGAAGAAAAAAAAACAGAGAACCCGGAGCCAAAAGGAAAGGCGAGAAAAAATAACAGAGAACCCGGAGCCAAAAGGAAAGGCGAGAAAAAAAACAGAGAACCCGGAGCCAAAAGGAAAGGCGAGAAAAATAACAGAGAAAGCCGAAAAAATAACAGAGACCCGGAGCCAAAAGGAAAGGCGAAAAAAAAACAGAGAACCCGGAGCCAAAAGGAAAGGCGAAAAAAAAAAACAGAGAACCCGGAGCCAAAAAGGAAAGGAGAAAAAATAAGAGAAACCGGAGCCAAAAGGAAAGGCGAGAAAAAAAAAAACAAGAGAACCCGGAGCCAAAAGGAAAGGCGAGAAAAAAATAACAGAGAACCCGGAGCCAAAAAGGCGAGAAAAAATAAAGCCAAAAGGAAAGGCGAGAAAAAAATAACAGAGAACCCGGAGCCAAAAGAAAGGCGAGAAAAAAAAAACAGAGAACCCGGAGCCAAAAGGAAAGGCGAGAAAAAAAACAGAGAACCCGGAGCCAAAAGGTATCGCAACCACGCCGTCAACAACAACACTATTTCCATGGAATAATTACCCAGCTGCGAAGCGGTGTGACGCACGCAACTTGGAAACAACCGCGATGCACTTTGATCGCTTTTCAGAAAACACGTGAGCACAAACACGGTGCGGAGAACACGGCGGCAGACGGTGACGGTTCTTTGTAGTCGTAGGCACGGGGTCGTAGGCACGAGGTCGTAGGCACGGGGTCGTAGGCACCGGGGTCGTAGGCACGGGGTCGTAGGCACGGGTCGTAGGTTGCGTCGCCCTTGAAACGACCCGAAAAGGGTTTCTGAACATCCCGCTCGCCCGGAATTATTTTAAGCTCGGCGATCCTCCCAAAGTTGGACGGCCGTCTAATGACACGTTTTGGCCAGTTAACGAGTTCGGCGCATGAATTATACGACTATCCCGAGAGTTTCCCGCTAAAACTTACACGAGGCATAAAATGCGAGAAAACAAAAGGCGTCCCACCGCTGCCTCCAAGCTTTGGTTACAAATTACCATATTTCAGCATAAAGACG